CAACCGGAAGATGTACTATATATATAGAGTTCGAGAAAGAAGAACGATTTTATATGTATGTGTACATATAAAATACATATGAAATCGTATTCTTTATATATATATATATATATATAATTTATATATATAAATCGTTCTTCTTTCTCGAACTCGTCGGACCTGTAATTCTATCAGAGCTGACGACAATCGCGTTACGGCTCCGTTCATTAATTTCAGAGCAAACGGTCCGAGAACCATCGATTTATCCCCGAGGATCCAAAAACTGTGCTCGTCGAAGAGGGTCGATATCCGAATCGATTTTCCAGGATGATAGCTCGCCGGAGTTTCGATTACCCCCCGCCGGGTCGAAAGTCATGAAATTAATTGCCACAATCGGCCCTCGTTAATTAAATCCGTCGCCGACGATTACCGGGATAAATCGCACGGCTAATTATGCCGATTAATTTCGACTTCGGCGGCCGGTATTGAATTGGACCGGCAAAAGAAATTCGATTGACAGCAGATCCAGCTGGCATGGAATCGTTCTTTTTTTTGGAGCTATTGTCGCGACAAAGTTGCGATGCTGCGGAAGCGAGGCGAGAGTGTATTCTGAGTGTTGCAGACGATGCGCTATGCGGACGCAGTTTTCGGTTGCTATGCAGCTAACGATGCAGCACGGATCGCGGAGCACGGGTGCCGATAATCGAGTTCGACGGTGACCAGGAACTCGCCGGGACACCTGCGGAGCTACCGGTATCAAGCGCCTAATAGCAGGTCTACGATACGAGCACGAGTAAACGCTGCAACATGACGTTCACGTCGCTCGCAAGAGCTATCGGTATCTCCTTCGAAAGCCTGCAGGACCTAACTTACGTCCAAACTTGCCGGCGACTTCAGGTTTTCGAATTTTCCATCGTCGACTCGAAAATCTAGCTCCCCGTAGTTCCGAACTGGGTTGAAGGTTGATTAATCGAGTTCGAGAACGTTAAGCCCTGATTTTTCTCCGTTGTAATTGGATTCTTGGGACTGAAAGATGGATCGGTTTACCTCTGGATGATCAGTTCGATCAGTAGAACGGTGAGATGTAAGTTTACTTTGTTGCAATTGGATTTTAGAGGTTGAAAGCGAGAATTATTTGGGTACCGTGTGATTGGACAGAGTCTACATTGGTCAGATATGGATTGACTTTGTTAGAAGTGGATTTTAGAGGTCGATGTCTAGGCTTATTCGGGTACAACATAATTAGACAGCTTCTAAGATCGTCAAATGTAAATTGATTGCATTAGAAATGGATTTAAGGGACTGGACTCGAGAATTGTTTCGGTACAATATGATTAGATAGAACGGTCAGATGTGGAGTGATTTCATTAGAATTGGATTTTACAGGTCGAAGTGAATGTTCATTTAGGTGCAGAATAATCAGACGTACTATAAAATACTTAAAAGTAGATCGATTACATTGGAATTGGATTTTAAGGGCTGGACTCGAGAATTGTTTCGGTACGATATGATTAGATAGAACGGTCAGATGTGGAGTGATTTCATTAGAATTGGATTTTACAGGTCGAAGTGAATGTTCATTTAGGTGCAGAATAATCAGACGTACTATAAAATACTTAAAAGTAGATCGATTACATTGGAATTGGATTTTAAGGGCTGGACTCGAGAATTGTTTCGGTACGATATGATTAGATAGAACGGTCAGATGTGGAGTGATTTCATTAGAATTGGATTTTACAGGTCGAAGTGAATGTTCATTTAGGTGCAGAATAATCAGACGTACTATAAAATACTTAAAAGTAGATCGATTACATTGGAATTGGATTTTAAGGGCTGGACTCGAGAATTGTTTCGGTACGATATGATTAGATAGAACGGTCAGATGTGGAGTGATTTCATTAGAATTGGATTTTACAGGTCGAAGTGAATGTTCATTTAGGTGCAGAATAATCAGACGTACTATAAAATACTTAAAAGTAGATCGATTACATTGGAATTGGATTTTAAGGGCTGGACTCGAGAATTGTTTCGGTACAATATGATTAGATAGAACGGTCAGATGTGGAGTGATTTCATTAGAATTGGATTTTACAGGTCGAAGTGAATGTTCATTTAGGTGCAGAATAATCAGACGTACTATAAAATACTTAAAAGTAGATCGATTACATTGGAATTGGATTTTAAGGGCTGGACTCGAGAATTGTTTCGGTACAATATGATTAGATAGAACGGTCAGATGTGGAGTGATTTCATTAGAATTGGATTTTACAGGTCGAAGTGAATGTTCATTTAGGTGCAGAATAATCAGACGTACTATAAAATACTTAAAAGTAGATCGATTACATTGGAATTGGATTTTAAGGGCTGGACTCGAGAATTGTTTCGGTACAATATGATTAGATAGAACGGTCAGATGTGGAGTGATTTCATTAGAATTGGATTTTACAGGTCGAAGTGAATGTTCATTTAGGTGCAGAATAATCAGACGTACTATAAAATACTTAAAAGTAGATCGATTACATTGGAATTGGATTTTAAGGGCTGGACTCGAGAATTGTTTCGGTACAATATGATTAGATAGAACGGTCAGATGTGGAGTGATTTCATTAGAATTGGATTTTACAGGTCGAAGTGAATGTTCATTTAGGTGCAGAATAATCAGACGTACTATAAAATACTTAAAAGTAGATCGATTACATTGGAATTGGATTTTAAGGGCTGGACTCGAGAATTGTTTCGGTACAATATGATTAGATAGAACGGTCAGATGTGGAGTGATTTCATTAGAATTGGATTTTACAGGTCGAAGTGAATGTTCATTTAGGTGCAGAATAATCAGACGTACTATAAAATACTTAAAAGTAGATCGATTACATTGGAATTGGATTTTAAGGGCTGGACTCGAGAATTGTTTCGGTACAATATGATTAGATAGAACGGTCAGATGTGGAGTGATTTCATTAGAATTGGATTTTACAGGTCGAAGTGAATGTTCATTTAGGTGCAGAATAATCAGACGTACTATAAAATACTTAAAAGTAGATCGATTACATTGGAATTGGATTTTAAGGGCTGGACTCGAGAATTGTTTCGGTACAATATGATTAGATAGAACGGTCAGATGTGGAGTGATTTCATTAGAATTGGATTTTACAGGTCGAAGTGAATGTTCATTTAGGTGCAGAATAATCAGACGTACTATAAAATACTTAAAAGTAGATCGATTACATTGGAATTGGATTTTAAGGGCTGGACTCGAGAATTGTTTCGGTGCAATATGATTAAATAGGTTGCAGAACCGTGGAAGTGAAGGCTCATTTAGAGATACAGAATAATTACACAGACTCTAGAATGGTTAGATGTACATCGACTTCATCGGAATTGGATTTTAAGGGTCTGGAGTCGAGGATCAGTTGGTCCCAAAACAAGATTACACAGATGGTACAATGACGAGAGTTAAGGTTCATTTCCATTGCAGTTCACTTTTAGACTCTGGAAGCTAGGATCGGACAGGATCAACGTAATTGGTAAAGTTGTTACACGAAGATTTGGATACTTTTCACATCGACCGGATTGAGGATTCGAATCGCTGGGTGATGAGATTTGAGATTTATCATCGTCATTGGATTCTGGAGGCTGGTGTCTAGAGTTTGCTGAGTCAGTTCATTAAATCGGGAAGCTAGGGTCTACACGTCCAAAACTGTCCACGTGCCGGTCGAAAAAAAAGTCAAGCTAACAAGACAAACGCCAGAAAACCCATTTCCAAACGGTAAGACGAACGCTTTCGCGGCCGACCGCTGAACGCATCAGCGACGTTCGTTTTCGAACGATCCTTGATCCGCCGCAGTTGTTCCGAAGAAAAACTGCTGGATCCTGCGCTAAAGTCCGTCCACGGAAGGCTGATCGATACGCGTATTGCAGCGTTCGCTCGTTCTCAACCCCCGTCGGATCGTAAATAAAGGGATAGGTTTCTTGTCTAAGAAGGATAGGATATCACGCGCGCGCAAGATATGTAGAAGGAAACAGAGAGACAGAAACAAAGAGAAAGAGAGAGAGAGAGTGAGAGAGAGACGGGGGGGATTGGAGAGAGGATAGTGGAACGGGAGACAGAGGACCAAGGAGCAGTACTAAGAAGAAATATAGATAATCACGTGAGCTCTACGATGCAAGGCCGTGCAGCGTAGCAGACAGTGCTCAAAGGAAATCGCTAGAAAGAGAGATAGATAGATAGATAGATAGAGAGATATATAGGGTGTCACAAAATTAGGGGTTCCTGAGGTCATCTGAAGCAACTTTCTTCTTAGCGAAAATGCAGTTCGCGGCTTTGTTTACAAGTTATTAACGATAAACACTGACCAATGAGAGGCAAGCTCGGTTGGCGCAAGGCGACTGAACCAACGACCGGTCGAAGTCCAGTTCTTGCCTTGCGCAAACTCGTCTCTCATTGGCCACTATTTTTCGTCAATAACTCGTAAACGAAGCCACAGATTGCATTTTTGCAATCTGAGGTTACTCGAAGACACTTCTCCCTCGGTGAAAATATTCTCCGCGAATTTGTCAACGGGTTATTAATGAAGAACACGGACCAATCAGAGAGCCAGTACGAATGGTGCCTCATCATGGCGCCAAAATTCATTTTTTGACCGGTGATCGCTGTTTTTTGTTAATAACCCGATTCTCGGGAACTACTCATTTTGTGGGATCCCCTTGTAGACAGAGAGCTAGAGAGACAGAGATAGATAGATAGATAGAGAGAGAGAGAGAGAGAGAGAGAGAGAGAGAGATGAGGAAGAGAGAGGTAGAGAGAGAGAGAGAGAGAGATGAGGGAGAGAGAGGTAGAGAGAGAGAGAGAGAGATGAGGGAGAGAGAGATAGAGAGAGAGAGAGAGAGAGATAGTGAGTGTGTGCATCGTTGATTCTGCAGCATCGACGAGCACCAGCAGGCGTCGTCTGATCGAACTGCGGCCGATTTCCTCGGGTCCTTTCGGCGCGTGTCTCCCGCTCAAAGGAGGACTAACTCACCTGTGCGTCTTTCGGGCAGATTCAGGGTGGTGGTGCGGAAGCGGACCGTCTCGCTGCGCCCCTTGCTGTTGCTCGCGTACACGTAGACGTCGTAGCTGGTCCCGGGCTCGAGGTTCCCGACCGAGAATGTCGGAACTTTGCTCGTCTGATTGTACACGGTCCTGCCGGGCTTTGCAGGCCCGCCGCTCCCGGTCCCGGGTTCACGGTCCACCTGGATCGTGAAATTCTGCGGCAGACCGCCGTCGAAACCCGCCGTGCACTCCACGTACACCGAGTCCGTCGTTTGATTCTGAAGAGAGCAATTGTACGGCGTGTCCGGGTGACCTGGAAAAGTCAATTATTTGAACAACTGGGTCACCAGGCATCCCGGAAGTCCATGGTCATTCGGACCAGGGTTATTTGGACTGGGTCTTGTCGGCTATGTTTCAGCCTTTGACTGCTAATTGGGCTCTGGACTTCCCCCTTTGCTTGAATCTCATTGTGGATTGTTCTGGAGATCATTGGAACTTTTGGATCCTCTATTTTAGGGTTTCGCGGATAGCTAGCTCGCCGAGATGGATGGTCCAGTCTCTAGTGTTTAATTATAATTAACTGTAAACTACTATGTTTAACTTCATAGAAGCGAATATTCGGGACATCTGAATCCCCTATTCGAGCAACTTGGAAATTCGAGGATCGGGTATCTGAGTTAGCTGCTATTATTTAGGATATGGACTTATTTTTATCTGACTGCTTTTTCTAGCATTGCGCAAGTAAATAATTGGAATGATTCGTTTCTCTATTTGAGATAATAACATTTGCAACTTTGCTTTGTGCTTTTGCTCTTTTATGTTGTTACAACTCTGCTCGCTGTTATCAATGATCTAATCTTTTGCATTCGATCTGTTAGGATGTTGACTTGTAGCACACACTCTACGATATACTCTTCCCTATCTAAATTTGTCAAATTCAATGATAGGACTGATCAATGTAGAATCCCAGTATGATGCTCTGTAGTCTGCGAAAGCAGAGTACCACTACAAAGTTAAAATTCGTGAATTGTTTTATCTCTCGTTGCTCTCTTGTTTACTAGAACAGTTAATTTGAACCCCATTTGGACATCGAAAGCAATTGATAATCTTCATTTACCATTCAAGAATCTATAGGAGCGCGTCCTCCGCATCACTCGGGACTCTTAAAACCGGAAATCAATTCAATTATCCTACAGCGGCAATGAATTTCGAAGTCAGCTTAGCTGGAGAATTTAATATCCTTTTACCGGATATGGAGCCACTGATAGTAACAACGGATCAAGGATTTGTGGGAAGATTGTACACTGTGCATTGTCTAGCCCCGAGCCAGTATTTGATTGGAAAGGGTGCAATCCCGCTAATGGGTTTCCCACAACCGCATAGCCAAAATGTGCCCAAGAGACAACATCCTAGTGGTCGGAAGAGTCAAGCTAGCTTTGCTGTATAAACCCCTTATGGCAACGACGCGATCTACCTTGCATAGGTATGAGACGGCGCTATTATACTACCCAGAACGACAGCGAGTACCCTTTAAACGTATTCGCCAACGAGATAAGAGAAAGTAGCCCCGTTTGGACCAGCACCTACAGAAACAGTGCGGTCTTATTAACCATCGGAAAACGAATGGTTTTCGATGCGTTGGAAACCGGTGTCAACGTTGCCATCGCACTGATTTCAGACACCAGATCAATGCTCGGGTAGACATCAGGATGACAAAATGACCCCCGCATTCAACGTACGAGGGTTAATATCGCCAATTTATTCTAGATAAATACAGGGTTCTCCGGAAAGAATCATGCGATTTCAAAAATTTATATTTTAAAAAATTACACACAGAAAATTAGAATTCAAACACGAATATAACGGGAAAATGTGCGAGTTTTACTTTTTATTATTTTTTTCTCATGTACCAAACCGTTGGATTGGTCGCAGTTCATCCGATAATATGGTTCTACACAGTTGGCCCCCGAGATCACCCCCGACCTAACCCCATGCGACTTCTTCCTTTGGGGATTTGTGAAGGATCTTGTCTTTGTTCCACGCAAATTGCACATAACAGTCCCTCAAATTGCAACTGCTCAAAAAATACAGGGTTCCCCGGAAAGAATCATCCGATTTCAAAAATTTATATTTTAAAAAATTACACACAGAACATTATAATTCAAACACGAATATAACGGGAAAATGTGCGGGTTTTACTTTTTACCCCATTGCCACTTGGAGGTTCAGAATTTTCTTAACACGGAACTACCAAACCGTTAGATTGGTCGCAGTTCATCCGATAATATGGTTCTACACAGTTGGCCTCCGAGATCACCCCACCAAACCCCATGCGACTTCTTCCTTTGGGGATTTGTGACGGATCTTGTCTTTGTACCACCTTTACCTACAAGTGTAAATGAACTGAAAAAACGCATTTGTGATGCTGTGCAAACAATTACCAGAGATACATTGCACCGTGTTTGGCAAGAACTTTCATATCGCAATGATATCATACGTGTAACGAAAGGAAGTCATATTGAACACTTGTAAACAAAAACTCACACATTTTCCCGTTATATTCGCGTTTGAATCATAATTTTCTCTGTGTAATTTTTTAAAATATAAATTTTTGAAATCGGATGATTCTTTCCGGGGAACCCTGTATATCTACGTCATTATTACACTGAAACGAATTACAATAATTTCTCTCACCATTGTCCCTCAGCTTGGGAACGAAAATGGGCAACTTGGTAAGAGGAGACAAGATTATTCGAGTTTTGCGGCACGTTTTTATAGTCGCCGATTATCAACAGCTTAGGGACAATGTGAGCAAAATTACCGTAGATGCAAACTGGACGTGCTGGCGCAAATTCACCCAGCAGAAAAGTTCCGGGAACAGTTCCGCCGAGGTCTTCAGGGAGACAGGTCTCAAGAGATCGCATCAAAACCGCGGGATCAACGATCCCCAGCGATCCAAAGACCCTCTTCGGCAGCTTCTGGATCCAGACCAGTTTCGGACGATACTACCCCGGCCACGCTATTTTGTTTTCGCCTGCCACCACAGAGAAGGGCGGGTTTAACAATCAACAGTTAAAGTCGCCGTAAAGATCCTCCCCGGTTTCTCCGGATAAACGAAACCGAACCCACTCGGGGGGGAGATAGGTCAGCGGTGATTGGCTCTCGTCGAAGGCGTCAGCGATAGCAGCGCAAGCCTCCTCGGGAGAAATTGTCGCGGCGAACGTTTACCGGTGACGGGAACGGAATACAAAGATGGCGGAGCACGTAAACCGGCCGAGCGGCGTGGCTCGCGTCCACGGACGTCTTTAATCAACCGGCACGAGCTAACGAGGTTGGGTTTTGCGTTGCCATTCTGGCCGCCGCGAGACCCACGCTCGCCTCGAATCGAACCGCCCCGGTTTTATGCAACGTTCTCCTTAATGGCGGTTTTTATTGCACCATCCCCGGCCGGTTTAGATCCCTCGCCGGCACTGAACCGCATTTGTGACGTATTGACGCGCCTTTATACGAGCTGACTTCCGACCGCCGTCCCCTTCCCTTCCTTCCGCCGGCTCGTTCGCTCGTGTTTTTAGACCTCCTTAAGATTAAACTTTGCGGAACGCGCGGCAAACGAGAGCCATTAGATGGCGCAGCGGACAAAGCTTCTTCGGTCGCAAGCTTGATGCACACTGTGGCTTGCGATTTTATTTCGGGATTTGGTACTCTGATTTCCGTGCATACTTCTATTTAGACCGGCTAGACCCCTGTAGCAGTTTCTAGGTAACATCGGTGTTTTAGCAGCGGGGCTGCTGAAAAACAGATTTTTAAAATAGTAAACGGATCGTGAATAATTTTATTCTCTCGCGTAATAGAGGATTTGGCAAATAAACTTTCTTTTTGAAATAGTAGTCGCATACGGATATTACGTAGTTCAATTATTACTGTTTCATAAATATTAGGGTGTCCCATAAGTTCTTTCCGCGCCGCGCTACGAATGACTTTAACTGGCTGTGTTTATATAAACACGTAGGCTTATCTCTTGGCTGTTTAGGGTATCGGTTTCAGTCGTCCTCTAGAGCTCTTTTAGAGTATGTTTCATTGGTGACAAAGTTCCTTATCAAATTTTTTCTGCGCCGTTCGATATGGATAGCCAAAATAAGCATTTGCGGCATGTTATGCTTTATTGCTTTAAAAAAAAGTGATAGGGCAAAGGACGCTGCAAACGAGACTTGTACCGTTTACAGTGATGGTTCTACGACTATTAGGACAGTCCGCAATTGGTTTGAGAGATTTAGAGCTGGCAATTTTGATTTGAAAGACGAAGACCGCAGCGGTCGTCCAACAACGACGGATGCGGACCTTGTCAAAGATATGCTCGCCGAAAATCCGCGATATAGCGTGCGCGAGATAGCGGATGCCACTACATACCCAGGACAACGGTACATAAGCATTTAATCAAGATGAGATATGTGAATCGATTCGAAGTTCCACACCGTCGATAGGTGTTGACACCAGCCTTATGAACCGCGTCTCTACGTGCGATTTGCTTCTCCAACGACATGGAAGAAATCCTTTCCTAAAGAGACTTGTCACTGGAGACGAGACTTGGATTTTATACCAAAATGTGCATCGAAAACGAACTTGGTCAAAAGGAAATAGTCCCTCAATTGTTGCGAAGTCAGGACTTCATCCGAAGAAAGTTCTTTCGTGCGTTTGGTGGGACTGGAAAGGCGTAGTCTACCACGAGCTCCTTTCTCAAGGTGAAACGATCAATTCGGCTAAATATTGTAATCAACTCGATGAATTGAAAGCCACC